AGAGCAGGACGAAGCTTGAAAAAAAGGGGGGGGGGGGAGCAGAAGGCAAGAGTTGAACTGAGCTGTAAGCGTCAAGCCCCTACCATACTAGCAGCTATAGTTCGGGTCTGTATAATACATTCTCTGGGTTTTGTGCACTTGTAGAGCTCCGCAAGGTTTCCAGAACCACTAGCAGGTGTCTCTGAGGTCTGCTTTACATGTCCGCTATCAGTTCAGTATTTTTAAAGGCAGTAAGGTGAAGGCAGGTTCACTTTAAGGCCTTCTAACCATAATACAAAAACACATGGCTACATATCAAAAAGTTCCTTCTAGTACAATTAACATTGCTAAACAATCCCCAAATGGCTCCCGACGACTTCCTCCTGGGACAAGGCTCCTTCCCTCATATCAGGCGACCTCCTCATCTATGTTGTGATTCTTACAAAGGCATTAGATCCAAACACATAGAATGCAGCATAAAGGGGCTCAGTGAAGGTGGCAGATAAGGTGTGAAGGTGTCTGATGGGGCTGCACAGTTCATAAAAGGACACTTGCCCTGCCTCGTAGTCCAGAGAGACCCTGAATCTATTGCAGGAAATATTATGAGATATTATAATTTCCCGTCTGTCGTGTATAACCGAATACCGATTGTTGGAAGACTTCGACAGACACCAGGACTTGTTATTACACCCCAAATATGAAGTATCTCCTTTCTTATCAATAGTGCTGTAGCACACTCCTAACCTCCACTCTCCACAATCACTCGTCTCAGTCTCCCAGAAGTTTCGACTTGATGAGAAACAAAGGGTGCTTAAAACTTGGGAACAGTCCTGGAATCTTCCTGGAGAGTCCGCACATGATGAACCTGGTGCTGGTTTTATCCATTCCGCCCGTTTTCCATTCAGGGATAGACGTAGACTTTTAGCGGCTGTGTTGCCGTCCAGTTTGTAGGACTTCCTTGGTATATAAATATCTTTCTTCGTTGTGGTAATACTATCAGAGAATTTTGCATGTAATATCTCTATGATTACAGTCTCATCCAGATTTCCTGCAGCATGGACTATTTTTAAATAATCTTCTCCAACGTTACAGTCCTTCTTTCCAACATCAAAAAACTCTTTTCTGTTTGATTCCTGTAGGACAGTAAGAGCATCGGTCAAGTCACACAGCTCCTCAATGCGACGCATCCTCCTCAGCAACTCGTCCATCTCTATTTCCATCTGCTTGATCAGGTCAGAGATGGAACAGGTCATCTGCTTTTCTTGTTCGGAGATCCTAGTGAGGACACTCTTCTCCAGATCATCCAGCTGGGTCCTCAGGTCTCGAAAGATGGCGGTGACTCTCTTGGTTTTACCTGCTGCTTTATCTTGTATGTCTTTCATCTGTGCATGCAGTTTCTGGACAGTTTTCTCAGTTTCTGCTCTGCTAGAGGTCATCTTCGGCAGAAGATTTCGTAGGGCTTGCTTCTTCTTTTCAGAGGCGTTGTCTAGTGAATCCACTTGATGTGTCTGGTGGTTTCCATCAAGCCTGCAGGTCACGCATATACAGGTAGAGTCCCCAGCGCAGTAGTACTTGAAGACCTCTTTGTGGATGGGGCATTTCCTGTTCTCCAGGGACGTGGTGGGATCCACCAACACATGTTCTGGTGAGTTTCTGTGCTTTTTTAAGTGTTTGCCGCACAGAGAAGCTTCACACAGCAGACAGGTCTTCACAGCAGGAACAGAAGAGTCACAATACGTGCAAAAAACTTCATTACCGTTCAGAGCTGGCTGAGCAGACAGGAAACGCTCGGCTATGTTACAGAGAGTTATGTTCCTCAACAGAGAAGTCATTTCCTTAAACTCTTCTCTGCACTCCGGACAGGAGTAAACTCCGGATTCCTTCTGCTTTTCCAACAACATGGTAATACAGCCCTTACAGAAGTTGTGTCCACATGGCAGAGTTACAGGATCTGTATAAATGCCGAGACAGATTGAGCAGTCCAGCTCGTCTCTCACATCTAGAGATGCCATCGTGACAAAGACACAGAAATGAAAGTGAAGCTCAGAATGATGAACCGTTCCTCCTTCCTGGGTGTAACCCGATGAGAGCGCCTGTAGCACATATACTGGTATGTTAGTATCAGAGAACAAAGGTCACAGAAATATTAACCTCTTCATGATGGAAGAGAGGGCC